AAGGTCCTGGGGTGGGCCTGACCTGCCATGTGACCGGGGAGTGCGGGGCCCTTGTGCTCCCTCTCTCTGCGTCAGCTTGGGGACTCTCCCCGTGGGGCTCTGCCTGTCTAGGACACTCCCTGCTCCCCAGGGAAGCGCTGTCCAGCCTGGGTGGGGCCTGGGCTGTCATCCTTGCCTTATGGGACAGTGCACAGGAGGCCAGAGGGCTTGCCCAAGGACAGCCAGCACCTCCCACCCAAGTCACTGCTGGGGATGTGGGCGCTGACCCCCCTGGCTCTGGGTCACTCGGGAGTGAGCTTGAAGAGGGCCCTTGGGGCAGGTGCCCTGGAGCCCTGGCAGGGCCCTCACTCCTCCAGGCGAGGGTCCCTGCCCAGGAGCGTGATCGAGAGAGAGGGAGGGAAGGAGAGAGGGAGAGAGGGGGGCACTCTGGGCTGCGGGGAGGGGCAGAGCCTGGCCGCTGGGAGCCAGGGCACCGCACTCCACGGCACGCAGCAGCCGGTGCGCCGCGGGCTCTGGGAAGGAAGGCCAGCCGGGCCGCCTGCCTCCTGCCCCCAAGCCGCAGCCCCTGGCCTCTGGCTGGCTCCTGGGGGGCTCGTGGCGGTGCCGGAAGGCCCCAGAACACTCCCGAAGTAAAGGGTTAAAGCCCAAGGCTGGCCCTGCAATCAAACATGCCAACCCTCTGATGTGGGCAGACTCACAAGCCCCCCTTCCATGGGCTTGGCCTCGGGATGACTGTCCCAGCTGCTCTGGGGCCTGGGGTCACACTGGGCCTGCTGCCCCATCTCCTAGCAACTGCCGTCCTGGGCCCTAAATAGCTGCCGCCTCCCCCTCTTCCCGCCCCAGCTGAGCAGGCAGCTGTTGAGGGGGTTCTGGGCTCAGGTAAGGAAGTGCCCGAGGTCGGAAGTCGGTGCCTCCGGGCAGCGAGCTGAGTTCCGCAGGGCGTCCTGCTGGGAAGGAGTGTGAGGGTGTCCCTCGTCCTCTCTCATTCCTGAAGTGTCCAGCGGATCTCACTGGCTCACCCTCCCACTGAATCTGGAGCCTGACCCACCCCGGCACCCACTGCCACCTCCCTCGCCTGGGCACCGCACCCCGGCTCTGGTCATGGCTCCCACTGTTCCTCCGTCCCACCCCACTCTGCTCCGCCAGGCTGCCTCCTCGCCATCCTCAGGCTCGTCCCCACCTCAGGGCCTTTGCACAGCTGTTCTTTCCAGCAGAAAGCGCTTCCCCAGACTCCCAGGGGACTCACTTCCTCCCTCCCTCAGGATTTTAACTGACTTCACTTCTCAGCAAGGCTGTCTGACGCCACCTCGTCTCCCTCTCCTGACCTACTGAGCGCACCCCACCATCTGCGCCACTGGCTCCTTCCCCCAGTGGCTGTCGGCTCCCCACTGGAGTGGAGTGTCAGCCCCACAACAGCCACTTTCCGGTCACGGTTCCCTCCCCAGTGCTCAGACTGGAGGAAAGCGAGGGGGCGGGGTGGGGCGAGACCTGGGACCAGAGGACTGGGGGACCGAGGGGCCAGCTCGGGGCAACTGTGGTGACCTTGAGCCCATCCTGGGTTCAGCCCTCAGATGTGCTCGGGTTCTCGAGGGGCCGTGACCAGCCCCTCTGAGGTCAGAAGCACAGAGAAAGGCCTCCTGGATTCTAGCCTAGAACCGTCCACTGAAGGCCCCCACGTCCCTACCAGGATTCTAGCCTAGAACCGTCCACTGAAGGCCCCACGTCCCTACCTGGATTCTAGCCTAGAACCGTCCACTGAAGGCCCCACGTCCCTACCTGGATTCTAGCCTAGAACCGTCCACTGAAGGCCCCACGTCCCTACCTGGATTCTAGCCTAGAACCGTCCACTGAAGGCCCCACGTCCCTACCAGGATTCTAGCCTAGAACCGTCCACTGAAGGCCCCACATCCCTACCTGGATTCTAGCCTAGAACCGTCCACTGAAGGCCCCACGTCCCTACCTGGATTCTAGCCTAGAACCGTCCACTGAAGGCCCCCACGTCCCTACCTGGATTCTAGCCTAGAACCGTCCACTGAAGGCCCCCACGTCCCTACCTGGATTCTAGCCTAGAACCGTCCACTGAAGGCCCCACGTCCCTACCTGGATTTCTAGCCTAGAACCGTCCACTGAAGGCCACACGTCCCTACCTGGATTTAGCCTAGCCACCGTCCACTGAAGGCCCCACGTCCCCCCATACCTGGATTCTAGCTTTAGAACGTTCCACTGAAGGCCCCAACGTCCCTACCTGGATGCTAGCCTAGAACCGTCCACTGAAGGCCCCACGTCCATAACTGGATTCTAGCCCTAGAACGTCACACTGAAGGCCCCACGTCCCTACCGGGATTCTAGCCAGAAACCGCCATGAAGGCCCCACGTCCTACCTGGATTCTAGCCTAGAACCGTCCAGAAGGCCCCCACGTCCCTACCTGGATTCTAGCTATGAACCGTCCACTGAAGGCCCCCACGTCCCTACCAGGATTCTAGTCTAGAACCGTCCACTGAAGGCCCCCACGTCCCTACCTGGATTCTAGTCTAGAACCGTCCACTGAAGGCCCCCACGTCCCTACCTGGATTCTAGCCTAGAACCGTCCACTGAAGGCCCCCACGTCCCTACCAGGACTGTCCCACAAAAACAGGCTCTGGTCTGGGGGTCATGGGTCATGGGTCATGGTGGACGCCTTCCATCCCAGAAGCTCCCGAAAATATAGGGGAGTGTGGGGTGCATGTGTGAGCGGGTAGGGGGTGGGGAGGGGACGCAGGAGGAAAGAACAGCCTGTGGCCCAGCCTCAGCTCAGGGTCTCCAGGGTGTGTCTGTGGAGGGGCCGCAGTGGGGCACCCAGCACCCCTGGGCTCAGTCTCTCCGTGTGCATGACGGGATTGGCGGGCGGGGCCGAGCCTTTCACAGTTGGGGAGCTGGAGTGTCTGTCCCCACCAGGGCATGGGGCTATTTCTGGTGGTCACAAGGGGGTGCTGGGGGCCAAGGAGGCCAAACCTCCCGCAGCAGGGGGGCCAAGCCTCAGCCGGGAAGACGGGTCCTGCCCGAAATGCCCGTGGAAAACCCCGCACCCTGGGCGGGTGGTCCAGGGCAGAGCCCGCCTGCAGCCTGCGGGGGAGCCCAGCTGGGGGGAGTGTGCCCCGCCCCCACCCTGAGCTCGGCCCAGCTGCTTGCTGTCTGGGGCCTCAGCACCAGCGTTAGGTCTCTGCACCTCAGTTTCCCCATCTGTCTGTGGGAGCAGACACCATGTGCGTCGTGGGCGTACTGAGTGTTATCACAGAGCCAGAGTGCAGAGTGGCGGCTCTATCAGTAACCCTGGGGTAAGTCAGGTGGGGGCGCTGTCCGGGCCAGGGGCTGGGTGGGAGGGTGCGCACGCTGGCGTCTGTGGGAGGGACCCAGCAGGCTGTCCCAGGAGGACGAGAGCCGGGAAGTGTGAAATGTGGGGGAGGGCATCACTGTGGGTGGCCGAGGTTCTGGAACTGGGTGTGGTTTCTAATCACCACTGATCCCCTGGGGACCCTGGGCGAGCCATTTCTCCTCAATTCCCTCTTTGGTGAGACTGGGATCCCACAAGTGTCTCTCGGGTGTTTGGGGACAAAGTGGTGGTGGCCAGCGAGGGCCGGTGGTGAGGCGGCAGACCTCCTGGCTGACCAGGGCCGCGGGCGGACGGGCACGAGGGAGGGAGGGGTCTGCTCCCGGGGCCGGACACCAAGGCCAGAGCTGGGCCTGCCGCGCAGGGAGGGGCCGCTCCCGCACCTGTCACGCGCGGCATCAGGATGACCGAGGGCTGGCGCTCCGGGCTGCCGGGCCTGGCCTGCCACAGCACCGCGCCCTGTGACTAGCGGGTGGCGGGCGTGATTTACACGACGCAGTGCAGAGCCTGCCTGCTCCGTGTAATGAAGTGACTCACAGGAGAAGCAGCGCTTACTGACGTCTGTTGGGGTGTCGGCGGGGGACGCGAAGGCCCATCCATCACCCCCTCTCTCCCCGAGAGGCTGTGCAGCGTTTTGCTGAACAGGCTGAACAGAGGCTAATCTGTGAGTCCCCGCAGAAACCAGGAGTGAACTTGGCCTTACGAGGAGGCAGCTCCGGGGGAGGGAGGAGGAGGCGGCTCCCGGCGGGCACGGTGCCCTCGGGGACGCTCAGCCCCGGCTTTCTCGGAGGGGAGGCTGCCCTGTATCAACCCTCAACGCCGTCCTGTCGGTGAGCTTTATTGTCTCATTGCCTAACGCAGCATCAGCCCACTTCACAGATGAGAAAATCGAGGGGCAGGAAGGTGAAATGGTCTGCCCAAGTCACGCCCTCACCGAGAGGCCAGCGGGCTTCTGGAGGGGGGTCTGAGCCAGAGCCTGGGGTCTCCCGGAGGAGAGAGGAGCTCGGGGCTCCTGGGCCGCCCCCCGGAGGAGCTGGAGCCCAGATCGGCGCCTGCGTCCTCGCCCGCTTGTCTCCGGGGGTGAGCGGCTGTGAGGGTTTGCCTCTAGGTGGGCGAAAATATCTATTTACCCTGAAACAGAGTGATTTGCCAGGCAAGGCTCTAACTAGCTAAGTGGCTTGTCCTCCTCCGTGGGCAGGGGAGCCTCCATGGCAAGCGCACCGCTCTGCAGGAAGGGAGTCCGGATCCCGAACCCGGCCCACCAGCACCCATCACCGCCAGCGGGCTGGGGGGTGCGTCTGCCCCGCAGTCAGGGTGGCTCACGCCCCAGGAGGACGGTCGCTCCCAGACACGGGCAGGGCTCTCGGGGCGCTGGGCTCTCGACCACCCCGCTGGGTTATCCTCACTCTGCATCAGGGGGCTGAGCAGGGCCTTGGTCAGTCCAGTCCTGGTGGGTCAACAGGAAGCTCTCTCGGCCATGCAGGGGGGAAGCTGGAGGGAACCGTGGTCTCAGGCAGGGGCAGAGCCTGGCCCCTTCGTCCTGGGCACACTTGGATGGGGTCTTCACATGTGGGGGGCACGGCATGAGCCCACAGGGATGGCACAGAGGGGGAGTGAGCGATGGCCAGCCACTCAACTTTTGCCCCCACCAATGCTGACCACAGTGGGGCCGGCGGGGCTCCGAGCCGGGCGGGCTGGGCACCGAGGGGCGGGTTCTTCCAGCTGGGAGACGATCTCTGGCAGGGGTTGTAGGTCCCACTCACCCTGCAAGGAAGGAACACGAGGTAAACTGAGGCTGGAGGGTGAAACAGGGCACCACCTCCGTGCCACTTTCCCCGACGACCTCTGGGGTTCTCGCCCTCAAACTCAAACTCACCCTCCCCAGTGGCTGCTTGCAAGTCTTCAGCTGGAGGTCATCCTGGCCCCTCCACCCCCGGCCCACCCTGGCTTCAGTCTCCACCCAAAGGAAGCAATCAGCGCCCCTGGGGGCAGGCTGGGGTGCCAGCCATTCCGTCCACAGGTGGCCTCAAACCCAGGTCTGCTGCCTCGTGTATCAGCCTCACCCTGGCAGCTGGGGTGTTTCCACCGCAACCACTGCGGCCCCGGGATGCCCCCAGGGGCTCCGCCCCGGCTTCTGCAGAGCCTTGCCCGCCTCGCTCAGCCCCGGGGTAAACGGGTCTCCGATAAGGAGGTGAAACCAGCTCCGGTTTCAGACTGTTCGGTTTCTCCCCGTCCCTCCCCCTCGCTTTATTTTTAGGTTTCGGGGGAGGTGGCTGGCGCCCTGTTCACACCACCGAGATTAGTCCCGTGATGTGGCGAGGTGATGTTGCCCAGGAGAGGGGAGCCTTTCTGGGGAGCCTTTCTGCCCACGTGGGTGCGGTCAGCTTGTCCCTCCGCAGGCTGTCTTTCTGTCTGGGCCAGTCTACACCACCTGATTTCTCTATTAGGTTGTTTTTGTTTTTGTTGTATCCTCACCAGAGGACATGTTTGCATTTATCTTCAGATAGAATGGGAAAGAGGGAGGAAGAGAGAGAGAGAAACATTGATGTGAGAGAGACACATCGACTGGTTGCCACTCACACGACCCCAACAGGGGTGGGGGACACACTGCAACCGAGGTACGTGCCCTTAGCGGGAACCGAAGCCCGGTCTCTCTGGTCCGCGGGCCGACGCTCTAACCGCTGAGCCACACCGACCAGGGCTCTAACAGTTTTGTGTGAGTGGTTCTTGCCAGCTCCTAGGAGGGGAGTCCTGTCCCCCTTACTGGGGTCCCCTGGGAGCCGGGGGCTGATGTGGGCACAGAGGGCAGGCAGCTGCAGGACGTGGGGTAGCCGTCGAGGGCACCGGCCAGGGGCCCTGCGCACCGGGTACCTGGAAGCGCAGGGCGGAGGACTTGTTGCAGTGCATGGAGATGGGGGCGGAGCCGTACAGGGCCCGGAGCACGGCCCGATTGAAGAAGTTCCAGGGGACAGCGGCGAACTGCTCAGGGACAGAGGCCTGCGGGCAGGTGCAGACGTCCTCATTGCCGAACCTGCGACAGGAAGAGCCGCCCAGTCTGGGTGTGCAGGGGGGAGGGGAGCCCAGCAGGGTCCCCAGACTGGCCCCCAGGCCGCCTCCTCCCCAGCAGAGCTGCCCACTCTGGGCCTCCTGATGGGCTGTCTTGGCCCTGCCTCCACCGGCGACGGCTCGTAGGCTTCATCGCTCGTGCCACCTGGACGGGCTGGGTGGAGGGTGCTTCTCAGGCCAAGTCCAGGCTCAGCAGAAAAGGAGTGTGGGGGTCCACGGGTGACGCCTGCCACCAGCACCTCGAGAAGAGGTGGGGTACATCGCCCCTGTGTGTCCGCCCTGCTCTGAGAACCCAGCCTGGACTCCCCCCTTGCGCCCAGCTGCCTCACAGGGTTTGTGTCAGGTTCTCCGCCGCGGCCGGAGACCGTGCAGCCCTCCCCCAGCCGCACCTGTTCATGAGGTGGAAGTACTTCTGCAGGAAGCCGGGGTCCACCGCACTCTTGCAGAGCTCCAGCTGCGTCTGGGGGTAGTAGTGCACGTAATTGACGCACATCTCCTCCCGGATGCCGAAGCCCCCCTGCGGGGAGAGGAGAGCAGCCCTGCACAGGCCCCGCTGGGCTGCCGGCATTTCTGCTGGTCAGTGCATGTATTCAGTCATCCACTCACTCACTCACTTACTCACTCATTCACTCATTCACTCACTCATTCATTCACTCACTCACTCACTCACTCACTCATTCACTCACTCACTCATTCACTACTCACTCACTCACTCATTCACTCATCACTCACTCACTCCTCACTCACTCATTCACTCACTCACTCACTCACTCACATCACTCAATTCACTATCACTCACTCACTCACTCACTCATTCCACTCACTCATTCACTCCTCACTCACTCACTCACTCTTCCTCACTCACTCACTCACTTGCACTTCACTCAACACTCACTCATCATCACGCACTTCACTCACTCATCCACTCACTTCATCTCACTGCCACTCATTCACTCACTCACCATCACTCATTCACTCACTCACTCATCAAGCACTCACTCACTCACCATCACTCACTCACTCAATCACTCATTCACTCACGTCACCGTCACCTCACTTCATTCACTCACTCACTCACTCATTCACTCACTCACGTCATTCACTCATTCACTCACTCACTCATTCACTCCACTCACCTCACTCACTCATATCACCTCACCTCACTCACTCATCTCACTTCACTCACTCACTCACTCACTCACTCCTTCCCTCACTCTATTCACTCACTCACTCATTCACTCACTCACTCATTTCACTCCACTCACTCACTCATCACTCACTCACTCACTCACTCATTCACTCACTCACTCACTCACTCATTCACTCACTCACTCACTCACTCACTCACTCATTCACTCACTCACTCACTCACTCACTCACTCATTCACTCACTCACTCATTCACTCACTCACTCACTCACTCACTCACTCACTCACTCATTCACTCACTCACTCACTCACTCATTCACTCACTCACTCACTCACTCACTCATTCACTCACTCACTCACTCACTCACTCATTCATTCACTCACTCATTCACTCACTCACTCATTCACTCACTCATTCACTCACTCACTCATTAATCGAAGGTGCCAAGGGCATCTCTGCTGTCTGTCCAGCCACACTGTTTATCAGATGAATGGGGGAGGGGCACCTCTGCCCTCCAGCAACCTGCACTCCAGGTGAGGAAAAGGACGTCCTCCCAAACCGGAAGCCCAGGCTGCACAGCTCCAGGGGTGAGTGGCAGGGTGAAGTCAGGTGACTTACCACGGTGGCCAGCGTCCTGTCTTCGGTGTTGTATGTACAGGAAGTGATGAGCACGTCCCCCTGTGGAGCCAAGCCGGCAGATGTCCATCAGCACCCACCCACCTGGGGTGGCGGGTGCTCTGGGTCCCCATGTGGGACTGAGCCACAGTGCATGCAGTCATCTGTCCATTACTGAGGAGTCCAGCAGTGGTCCCTGTGCCCCCACATGTGAGGGTCACAAGCTGAGTGTCCCCAGGGAGTGACCGACTACCCATTGGCTTCCGTGGTCCCTTAGTACAGAGGCCACAGCAGGCGGCTGGTGACTGTGCAGACTGGCTGGTCATGGCACAGCCCTTGGTGAACTCGGGCAGGTCCCACATGGCCGGGCTCCCCTTCGGCGTGATCGGAAGTATCACTGGCGCCCCCACGCCCTCCAATCCCTCTGCAGCCCTCGGTTTCTGCTGTCGGCTGAGTGGGTGGACAGAGGCATGGCACCCTGGGTGCTGTCTGTCCCGACCAAGGCCTGTCTGTGAGGTCCCACTGAGTCTCACCGTGGGACAGCCCCGCCCCTGCCCTGCGTGGACACGGGAGAGAGCTTCGCGTGGCCTCCTCCCCTGTTGCTTTCTGTCTCTCTCCTCCGGGCCCACACTCCGGCCCTCCCAGCCTCTGTGGCCCTGACTGGCACCCACCTGGTGGACGGACACGACCTTCTTCAACATGCGGATCTCCTGGGTGGGCAGAGCAGAGGGCGGAGGGAAGGGGGACTTCAGAGAGCTGCAAATCCAACTCAGCCTCCTCCCCGGCCCTCCGGGGATAGAAATTTTCCCCAGCCCCTTGGGGGAAGCCAGGACTACCTAAGTTGGGCTTCTGCCAGGACCAGGAGGGATTAGAACAGGAGGTGGGTTCCAAGACAGATGTCACCACTGGGCTGCTGGGTCCCCCAGATCCTGCCATGGACCCCCGCCAGAATCCACCACGAGTCCCCCCCTTAGATGAAACCCCCAGGGGGAAGGCCCGGCCCAGGACCAGGGACCTGGGATGGGGCGTTTCTATGGCTGCTGGGGGACAGGGTCACCAGGCCCTGCGGGGCGGGAGGGTCCCTGCCTGGAAGTGAGGGCTGTAGTGGTTGTCCCTGTTCACGATGGTCATCTCGCGGCCGGCCCGGGCCAGCACGGTGACAACCTTCCTCCCGGTCAGGTGCGTGTGGAGCTGCGAGGCGAAGATGTGGATCCCAGACGGAGGCAGGGCCTGCGGGGCAGGGCAGCGGTCAGGGTCTGACCACGCGGGGGCCTGGCCGCTGCCCTCTGGGGGCGGCCAGCGCCGGACTGCGGGCCGCAGGGCAGAGAGGCTGAGTTGCTCCCGGAGCATTTGCATCCCCGGGCCTGGTCTTTCTCCCCATCAGTCAGACCCCCATCGGGAGGGAATGAGCTGCCCCAAGTGTGACGTCCTTCCCAACAGCAGCTTGGTCCGGAGCCCCAGGGGCGGGTTTGGGTGTGGACGGCTTCCCTTCAGTCCTCCCCGGAGCCCCTGAGAGCCGACAGGTCCCTGTGTTCACTCCGCAGACCTCAAGGAGAGTGACTGTGGGCAGGGCTGTGGCAGCGTGTGCTGGCGCCTCCCTGTCCCTCGCGTCCGGTGGACGCGAGTGTTTGTACTAGGTGGTCCCCTTCAGTGGCTGCCACACCTCAGCACCACAAGCTCCCAGGTGCCCCGCGGCATGACCTCGCTTTGCGGGCACGACGGCCAGGCGGCCTTCCCCGGCGGTCCCGGTCACCTGGCATTCCGGGCGTGGCCAGCAGCGCTGTCGGCGGCTGCACAGAAGCCCCCGCCAGCCCTCCCGGCCAGGCGCCTGGCTTCACCGTCAGGGCACGAGGGAATATCCCAGCAATGGGCGTCCTTTCCAACCCAGTGTTAGCTTCGTGCAGCTGGAAGATCTCCTACAATGGTTAAGTGTTTTCCCCACAACTCCGTCACCTCCCGCCACGCAGCACAGTGTTCTGCTCTGTCTCGGCTCCCCGCTGGCTGCTCAGGGGGTTGCCGGTGCCATCGCCCCGTCGCTGAGTGACCTATGCTGGGCATTCTGCACGTTCTCTGATGTCACCTCTGTGACTTCTGACCTGCACCAGCTCCTGCCCCCGCCCTTGTCATTATCGACAGCTTCTTCCCCCCCGGAGCTCACTTTCCAGCCCCAGGCCCTGGCCACGGAGTCCTCTGCATAGCAAAAGATGTCACTGATGGGAGCTCTGGGGACACAAGAAAGCAGGTCAGATGCCGGATGTGGTGACGATTTCTCGCCCCAGGTCTCCTGCAGGAGCACATGTGTCCAGCGCAGGCTGATAGCTGTCCCCCTTCAGCTTGAGGACGCTCTGCTTGCTGAGTGGTCAGGGGACGTGGGAGCTCAGGAGCCCACGGAGAGAACAGATCCCAACGCATCGAGTCGCTGGGCAGGCAAACCCACGCTGCACGGCACCACAGAGCGTTCTGCCGTGGCGGGCACGGCTCTGGAGGCAGACAGACCCGTCCTGCCACAGCCGCACGGAGACCCCAGCGAGCCTCGTCTGCCCAGCTGAGAAATGGGGTGTGAACACCTACCTGCGGGCTGCTCTCAGGATCACAGGCTCAGCGTGGGAGAAAGTGTTTGCAACATTCACGACAGGCTGTGCAATATCCACCCTCCAACACACAAACAGCTAGGACCAATAGTGAGGCAGATGGACAGCCCCCCGGAAAAGCTGGACAAAGCAGCCCTGGCCGTTTGGCTCAGCGGTTAGAGTGTCGACCCATGGACCAGAGAGTCCCGGATTTGGTTCCTGCTAAGGGCATGTGCCTTGGTTGCAGTTTGTCCCCGGCCCCGGTTGGGGCGTGTGGGTGGCAGCCACTCGATGTGTCTCTCTGACTTGGATGTTTCTCTCTCTTCCTTCCTCTCTCCCTCCAGCTCTATCTGAAGATAAATGCAAAAAAAAGTCCTTGGATTTGGGGGTATGTAGGAGGTTTAGTCAAGTTTAAGCTCACTTAGTCTGGCATAGCAACTTCATGCCTAGAAATCTACCCCTATGCACAAGGGTTCCCTGCAGCCTCCTCCCCATTGGTAACTGGACACTAATCTGGGTGCCAGTCAGCACAGGCCAGGACTTGGGGAGGCAAGCGGGCACCCAGGTGCAGTATTTGGGGAGTCACACCTTGTGGGAGCTGGGTGCTCCCACTGTTGGCTCTGGGTCTAAGTGCTGACCTGCCTTCGGACGGGCCCTGTGCAGGGGACAGGGCTCTCTGGGACTGTCCGCCCTGGGCAGCGCGCTGGCTGTCCCTGGTCTGCCAGTGGAGTCCACACCGAAAGCAGGTTGTGGTGGGAGGGGCAGGCTGTGGGGGCAGGGCAGGCTGTGGTGGGAGGGGCAGGCCGTGGGGGCGGGGCAGGCTGTGGTGGGAGGGGCAGGCTGTGGGGGCGGGGCAGGCTGTGGTGGGAGGGGCAGGCTATGGGGGCAGGGCAGGCTGTGGTGGGAGGGGCAGGCTGTGGTGGGAGGGGCAGGCTGTGGGGTTGGGGCAGGCTGTGGTGGGAGGGGCAGGCTGTGGGGGCGGGGCAGGCTGTGGTGGGAGGGGCAGGCTGTGGTGGGAGGGGCAGGCTGTGGTGGGCGGAGCAGGCTGTGGTGGGAGGGGCAGGCTGTGGTGGGAGGGGCAGGCTGTGGTGGGAGGGGCAGGCTGTGGGGGCGGGGCAGGCTGTGGTGGGAGGGGCAGGCTGTGGTGGGCGGAGCAGGCTGTGGTGGGAGGGGCAGGCTGTGGTGGGAGGGGCAGGCTGTGGGGGCGGGGCAGGCTGTGGTGGGCGGGGCAGGCTGTGGGGGGCGGAGTTAAAGGCAAGTCACAGGACACATGTTTACTCCTCTGCTAGTTTCTTTCAAACATGGCACGTGGGAGGGCACAGGGAAGCAGGCAGGAGAGAAGTCTGGAAGGGGCCGAAAGGGCCACTCACTGGCGGCCTCGGGCAGCGGGAGAGAGCCCTGGGCTGGGCTCCAACCCCAGCTCCACTGCCGGCGTTTTGAGGGGTGAATGCAGGTCAGGTTTACTCGTGGAATATGTGAACGTTTTAAAATGCAGTGCCTGGTCCATCCAGTGTGGCTCAGTGGCTGAGTGTCGACCCTGCACCAAGAGGTCGCCGGTTCGATTCCCAGTCAGGGCGCACGCCCAGGTTGTGGGCCCGATCCCCAGTGGGGGGCGTGCAGGAGGCGGCCAATCGATGTTCTCTCTCATCGATGTTTTATCTCTCTCTCACTTCCTCTCTCTCTCAAATCAATAAAGGAAAAACGTAAAGGAAAAAAGATGAAGTTAAAATAAATAACTGCAGTGCCTGGCAGGACTGGCCCACAGTGCAGGCCAAGTGGACGCCGGGTCGTCGCTGGAGAGGGAGGTGCCGTGCTGACCGGCTCCTTGGCACGCAGAGATGAGAGGGGCCACGAGGAAGCTGCAGGGGCCAAGGACGAAGGACTCGCAGCCCCCCCAGCTGTCCTTCCTTGGCTGCCACCTGCAGGGCCTCGGCAGGGGACCAGGACGGTGCCACTTACCAGCTGGGTGCACTTGTCGGTGCAGTAGCCCGTGAGGACGAAGGCCGTCTCCTGCGGGGGAATGGCCATCACGGGCGTGTACACCAGGCCCAGCTCCATGATCCCCGCGTCGAAGTGCCGGAGGGTGGCTGTGTAGTACAGTCGGATGCCCGAGGAGTCCCGCCGGTCTGGGAGGAGGCGGGCAGAGGTGAGCGAAGGCTCCCTCCCCTCCCCACAGGCAGACAGACTGCCCTGAGGCAGGTAACTGCAACCATACTGTTTCACGGCGAGGCGCGTGCAGTGGATTTGGGGAGCTAGCGACGCCTCTGCAAAAGGCTTTGCAGTTCCTACCCCACGTGCAAAGGAACCCAGGCTGAATCGGTCCGCAGGACGACCTGTCGGTGAGGTTTGGGCAAAGAGGAGGCCGTGGGACCATCCGCAGACCCATCGCTCGGAGGAGCCGCAGCCCCTCGTCAGTTTGGGAAGGGACAGTACATCTGTCTGTTGAAGTTGACAAGGAAATTTAAGGAGCCTGGTTTGTGAGGCAGCCCACCTCACCCCTGGGACCACGGCCCTGCAGGATCGAGGCAGACCCAGGGTGTCCACCGAGTGGGCATCTCAGGAAAACCTGAGCAGAGGCACGGACCCTGGGAGCAGGGCGGCGTGAAGGGGGCCGCCCTCCGGTTGCACACGGTCCAGAGCTCCGCTTGTCAGCGGGGTGCTGGGTGCTCTCAGGCAAGTCTCTGCCCCTCTCTGGTCCTCAGGTCAAAGTCAAGGACCTCTTCCCAAGGAGAACTCGGTGCTCCTACCCATCACGGTCCAGCCACACCTCCAGCTCTTGCTAACTGCAGAGTCCACGGGCCTCCCTGGGCGGCCTCCCGGCGGTCACACGGAGGTGAGGGCCAGAGCCCCGGGGTCGCTGCCTCCCACAGGCACAGCCACTGGGCCATGAAGCTTTTCTCCTGCCTGGAGCCGGTCAGTGACAAGGTCCTGTGACCTTCAGGGGGGAGCATTGGGAGGGCCCCATGGAGAAAAAGGGGGCTGGACAACCCCTCAGAATATACAGTGGACCTGGGACATGGGTGGAGAGCCCAAGTAGATTGGGGAAGAGTCATCATCCCCAATTTATAGACGTGGAAACTGAGGCTCGGAGCCTGATCTGAGAACCCCGCCCAAGATCACAGGTCTGGGAGGGACTGAGCTGGGGCCGGAGCCCAGGGCTCTGTGGGGGCCGGTGGCTCCCTGCTCCTTTCCTCGGGGGTGGAGCCAAGGACTCCCCTCCTGCCTCTGCCTCCCTCCCTTCCCACTCCTCACCCCCCACCCGGCAACGTGCAAACTCAGCCTCCGCACCACTGGGCTGATTACCTCAGAGAATAACAATAAAAAGGGAGGTGCAATTGGTTGCCATTCAGACAGGGATTCAATAATGAAGTCATCGTGCAATTTCGATATTTATGGGGAAGCAGCCCACCTCAGGATCAGCGAGTGACAGGAGCAACCTGGAGTTGGGTGAAGGCTCCATAAATACAGCCAGGTCATCAGGGAGAGACACCCTTCCCCGGCGCTTAAGGAGTTCTCAGAAACCCATTTGCTTCGGGTTTTAAATGAGCCGTAAATCCTGTCTCACGCTGAGAGCAAGCTGACTTATGCCCTTCTCCGCGCTGTAGCTACTTCCCTGGCGGAGCCGCCGGGAGGAAATCACGGCAGCCGTGGGCGGCACACGGCCCAGTGCCCACGTCCACGGGGGAGGGGCTGTGCCCAAGCTCATCTGGCCTCAGGAGGTGACGCACATGGCAGGGTGATGGTCACCCCCCCAGGGTCACGCAGCTGGGAGGACGGGCCTGGCCCAGCCTGGGGCTGATATCTGCTGTCTCCCACTATTTCTGCCCCTGACTTCCACAGTGAAGGAAGTGTCATTTTTTCAAAAAGAGAGCGAGCCTTGTACAGTTTGGCTCAGCGGTTAGAGTGTCGGCCCGCAGACCCAGGTTTGGTTCCCGCTAAGGGCACGTACCTCGGTTGCAGTTCGTCCCCGGCCCCGGTTGGGGTCGTGTGGGTGGCAACCACTTGATGTGTGTCTCTCACATTGATGTTTCTCTCTCTTCCTCCCTCTCTCCCTCCCGCTCTATCTGAAGATACATGCAAAAATGTCCTCGAGTGAGGATAAAAAAAGAGAGAGAGCGGGAGGAAGGAGGCAGGGTTCGGCCATGCGGAGCACCAGGGTCCGAGGGGGGCGAGGCGGCCCGGACCAGCAGCCCTACCTTGTGTCTTCAGCGGGTTGTGGTAGTGAACTTCCAGGCGGAGGAACCTGGAGGACCCGGGGCCGCCGAAGGCAAGACCAGCTTCTTTTGGGTAGTAAAAGGCCTGCCGGGAGGAGAGGGAGGAGGTGCGGGGCACTCAGGTCCCCAGGTCCCGGCAGGCAGACCCGCTGTCTGAGGGGGTCCCGGAGGGCAAACCACACAACCTCTGGGGCCTGAGCTGCAGTGGGCGGTGGAGGTGGGGCAGCTGGATGAGAAGGACACTCTCCCGCTGACGGGCAGCTCATCACCAGCGGGTGCTGGTGCCCCGCGGCCAGCCCACTGCCCGAGCCCTGCCCGGCCTCTCTGGACTCGGAGGAGGCTAAGGAAAGTCTCAGCAGCCCGGGGAGGCCAGCTAGCCTGGGCCACTCTGTGTGCAAACCCCTCCAGGTCCCGTGGGGACGCTGGTCAGTGCCACCAAGAACACGGCTCCTGGGCTTCTCTGCCTTTTTACAGAAAAATCACAGAGGCTGGGCAGTCTCCGAGGCTCAGAAGAGCGGAATGAGGCAACGCCCAGGTCACCGCAGATGTTTGGGGTGGGCCCTCGCCGGTGGCCTCGGGAGCAACCAGCAGAGCTCCCTCCTCGGGGCCTCTCGAACAGAGAAGTGGGGGACACAGAGGGTGGAGGAGGCCCGGAGGGGACGCACCTTGGCCCCCAGGGCCCAGGCGGCCAGCACGTGGCGACAGTAGTTGAGGCGACTGGGCTTCATCTTGGAGTCGCAGGGCCCGTTGAAGCGGGGGAAGCTCTCGTACTCGGCCGCGCACTGGAACACCTCCATGTGGTGCACCAGGGCCTCGTTGCCCTTGGTGATGACGGCCTCGTACTGCGGGGGCGGGGACACTGAGTCTGGGCCGCGGACACCGCCCCCCCACCCGCCCCACTGCAGAGGGCCCTGGCCCAGCAGGTCTCCTCCGCCGGCCTCAGTTTGCCCATCTGTACAATGGGAGGGCTGTTCCAGGGGTACTTCTGGGGTTCAGGGGTTTGAGGGCAGAGGCACCAACCTAGAACCAGGCGGAATCTGTCAGAAGCCCGTGAAGAGCTACCGAGCAAAGGAAAGGAGGACCCGGCCAGCCCTCTCCTGATGAGGTGGAGACAGGGAAATAGCTGTCCTTGTGTGAATGTGGCGGGGGCTGGACAGGGACACAAAGGCCGCCTGAGGTGGAGCCCAGGAGCCAGACACGGCTGTGAGCCCAGCCGGCCACTTCCTGCGGTGGGACTCTGGGCACTCAGACAGCTTCTCTGGGCTCCACCGCCTCTCCTGGGAACAGGGATGATGATGCCCGGTGCTGTGGGCACTCCCGTGGTGATGGGGTTGGATCCACCTCCCCTGCCCCAGGCCAGGCAGGGGCTGGACATTCAGCTACTGTCATTACTTTCTATCTCCAGTGTGTGTGTGTGTGGGGGGGGGCGGTGTTTAGAGCAATTGTGTTGTGAGTTAAGCTGCTTTTCAACGAAGGCGGAGGTGGTCTGACAGACAGGTAGACAGACAGCCCCAGGGGAGGGTGCAGAACTCAAGACATCAGTTGCCTTTGGTCCAGGCTGGGAAGCTGGGGTGTGAGGCCCTGGGAGGTGGGGAGTGAGCAGGGCCACAGGATTGGACCATACCAGTGGCTGCAGGAAGGTCAGGGGTGCCCAGGGTTCAGGCAATCAAAGGACACCTGGTTCGACCAGGACCACGGACAGCTCCCAGGACGGAGCTGCTCTCTGCAGGCCCCCCCGCCCCCAGCACTGGTCCGGGCCGCCTACCATGACGATGTGGTGCCTGGAGAAGCCTTCGGGGAGCTCGGTCATGTAGCACCAGTAGGTGGTCTCCTGGCCGGGGATCACAACGTTGGGGGCTCGGATCTCCATGGTGAGCACGTCCGCGGGCAGCTCCGGGGTGGAGATGTTGGGCTTCAGCAGCTGCACCCTCTGCAGCCCCGTCTGCAGGCCCGAGGTGTTGATGGCCTCCAGCGACGAGAACGGCTGCTCCAGGACCCCGTACACCAGGTGGACGGTGCCGTCCTGCAGCCGAGACAGACGCCAGAGGAGGGCTCCTTGGTGAGCCGGGAGAGGCCAGGTCCCGGCCCAGGCTCACCTGGCAGGTGACACCTGCTACTGAACTTGTAGAGCTACACTGACCACTAAGCCGCCACCAGCCCGTACTGGACAGGGCAGACTTAGGAGGCTCTGGCCACTGCCAAGCTAGAGGCCACAGGCAGACCCAAGAGGCAGGAGTTGGGTTGGCTGTCTCGTGCCGCTGTGGATGTGTGGGACGTGGTGTGGGAGACACTTGACGTGGATTCTGGGTGCCCGTGGATGTGCGTGGGTTTATATGCAGCGGCAGTTTGCTCTCTGAATCTGTGGCCACATGGACCTGGGAGCCCTGGGGGCTGCTCTCCACAGGGGGTGACTCAGCACAGGCAGGAGGCTCTGAGCTGAGCCCAGGCGGCCACGGTGCACCCCTGCAGAGTCCTCGGGACGTCTTCTGCCTGCTTCGCCTCGTCCTCAGGGACTGTGGGCCAGGAGGGCGAGGACTCCGACACCCTGCTCTAGGGACACCTCTTCTGATGTCACCGCGGCCCCCAAGACGCCACGAACCTCTGGGCACGCTCTTCCCTGCCAGCCTCCGATCCCACCTCCGGCATGCCGCTAGCCCACGTCACTACCGTGCCATAAAGTCTACACAAGATGACGATGTCAGAGTGGGATAAAGGTTGAAAGGGTTTTGTCTGCAAGGGCAAGGCGGGCCCTTCCTCCCTGACGCGGGGCCTTGGAGAGCGTGAAGTCTGTGGTTTGGGATCTGCGGTGGCTGTGAACTCCCAGACAGAGCTGGCGGCCCTCAGAGGTCATGCAGGTCCCCTCTGCGCTTTGCAGACAGGTGGACTGAGGCCCAGAGGAGGGAGGGCTCTGCCCTGAGCCTCACACGCTGGCAACAGGGCCAGGTTGGGAAACCAGGTCTCCTGGGCTCTCTCCAGAGTCCGCCTGGAGGTGCTGAACCAGGAGAGACACTGCCGGGGCGAGGTCACCCCGGTCCCAGCTCAGAGGCTGTGGGGCCGGACCCCCATCTAGAACCACGCCGTCTGTGCCAGCAAGAGCACTTTCTGCAGGGCCAGAGGTTGGCGCAGAGAAGGTCTCCCGCCGCCTGTCCTCACCCCGCTGCTCTGGGGGCCCCCCTGGTGTCCTCTCTGAGCTCACTGGCCCCCGGACATGCGTGCTAACCCAGCCCGTGCTGGCGCGGCTGCCACCCACCTCGATGAGGTAATCCTGTGGGTCACAGGTGCTGAAGGGCCTCTTAAAGAGCAGGGACAGGCCCTGGGGGGTCCTCTGTGCCTGCAGCAGCTGGTAGTCCTGCTGGGCGTCCAGGTGAATCTGTCCCTTCTGGTCACTCCAGGCGTCCTGCGGGGACGAGAGCAGGCTCGGAGCACCAGGAGCCGAGCCCGAGCACAAGGCTGCTCCCACGACACTGCTCCGTCAGCCACACTGAGGGTGGATCTGAGGGCTCCGGTCAGGGTGAGGGGCCGCTCCCACTTCCTGCGTCCGCCTGGAGACAGCACCCACCGCCTCACTTCCGCTGCGACCTTGAGGCAGGGCTCTCAAGGGCCACCCAGGGCTCCGGGCTGGATAGCCTGGCGGAGTCCCAGACCCCTGGGTGGGACCCAGGAACCTGTCTTGCTAAGAAAGTGCCGTGATTGGGAACGGGCCTTAGACAGATACTGCTCCCGCTGAGCTGCAGAGGGAGGGGTCCTGGCGGTGCCTGAGCCTTGCAGAGGGGAGGCAGGGAGAGGAGCCGTATGGAGCAGGCCAGGGAGAAGCTGGGCTGAGGGTGGCACTTCTCACAGGTGTCCATCCTGCCCTCGCCCACCTCTGAGAGGGAGCACGGCCTTAACATCACCCCCGCGCCCGGCCGGTGTGGCTCAGTGCTGACCCAGGCACCAAGAGGTCGGTGGTTTGCTGTGGGCCCAGTCCCCAGTGGGGGCGTGCAGGAGGCGGCCAATCGATCTTCTCTGCATTGATGCTTCTCTCTCTCCCCCTCCCTCTCTCTTCCTCTCTCTCTCAAATCAATCGAGAAAAAATTTTTAAAAAATTACACCCCAGGCACCTTGCTCCCCTCACCCAGTCCTAGCCTTGCTTGGAGAGGGTAAACTGAGGCCCAGGGAGGAAACAGACCTGCTGCATTCCCCCAGGCTGTCTGACCCCCCTCCCCCCAGCTGCTTCCCTTGCTCCAGGGCCCCAGGACAGCTCAGGGAAAGAAATCCCCCTGGGGTGAGGCTGGGAGGGACGAGCTCCCCCAGCGAGCAGGCCTCTGCTCCCGCTCAGGAGCGCCACGGGTCCTTGGCCTTAGGACTTTCTTTTAAACGCTGCTTCCAGGGCTCAAGCATGTTTTCTTCATCTCCTTGAGCAAAAAGCAACCCACACAAGATTTTGCAGGAATTCTCCCTCGAGAAAAGCGCCTCCGTGCCGCGCCCGCCGGGGGCCACAGCTGGCTTGCAGAAGGACTCACTTCAAACTCGGAGGCAGAAAGTCCGCCGGTGATACTTGAGCTGGAAATCTCGAATGTATTTGTGGAACATATTGCTGAAGGAGGGAAAATAAGCCTGGCGTTTGTTTGCACAGGAATTTGTTGTGCAAACTGATCTCAGTGCAGGGGGGCGAAGTCCCTGCTCACTTGGCAGCTTGGAGAAGCGGCCCCAGGAGGAGCTGGTCCTTGGGGACCAGCTGCTCCCTCCAGGAACAACTCCGACGGCTGCCCCGGGTCTTTCTTGGCCATAACCGCGGCAGCTGCTGAGTGCCCTTGTGCGTGGAAGGCAGGGCAGCCCAGGGGCCGATCTGCCCCAACCAGGTGGCTCCTGCCCGTCCTACCTGGGTGGTCCAAGCCGCTGTCCTCACCTGTGAACCGGGCAACACACCCTCCTTCAGAGTTATCACGGGGATTAAATGGAGCACAGTCAGGTTGCAGAAATATCAGCCACTGTCGGCTGGTGTCAACGCACGGAAACCCGGAGAAGCGGAGAGAGAGATGCCCCCCACTCTTCCGAGGAGGACACAGTGGCTGGGAGGCAGGTCAGACTCGCTTCTCCGGACTGGGTGCTGCTGCCAGGTTCTCCCACGAAATGGAGTAACAAACCCTCTGTTCACGGGTAAAGAAAGTACTCTCTAACTTAAAATTTTTCATCTTCCTATGTGTGTGTTTGAGGAGAGAGGGGTTTGTGCTCAGGCCCATCTGGGGAGGAGGGCGTGAGGGTGGCTAGGGGCTGGGCCCCCACCTGGGACCTCCCTTCATTTCGTCGAGGCCTCAAAGTTGCTCTGGTTTGAAAGGAAACTTCTCCCTTTCTCCACCCTTTACAGCCAGGATGGGGTGAATTTCGAAGGCAAGGAGTCAAGAGCTCAGCTCCGTGGGTCTGTCCCACCCCGGCGGGTCTGTGCCCCTCAGCTCACCTCCTGCAAAGCTAGGCCTGCAGCACCGCGTCCTGGGCCCTGGCGTGCGTGCCGGGCACTGTGCTTGGTCACGCGCGGCCACGTCGGAGGGTGTGGCTGCCCTGCACGTGTGTGCGAGTGGAGAATGTGGGGTCTGCACTCCCGGGGGGGGGGATAGGGTGCATTTATGTGCGTGCGTGTCCTTCCTCTGCGGCCATGCTCCTTGGGCACGCGGCGCGCTGTGGTTTAGGTGGTGCAGTCAAGGACCATGAAAGGCATCTATTCCTCATTTTGTCTTCGAATTGGCATCCCCAAGACACCCACGCTTGGGACACAGGGTTGAGAAAGGTAAGTGTAGGAGGGAGGCCAGCTGGGGGGCCGGGTAGGGGCAAGCTCAGGGCGGAGGACTTACCCCAAAGTAGGCCCTGTTCCCGTTGGTCCAGAGCACAACGAGGTCCGCGTCCTCCAGCTGGCCGCGGTCCGACATCCCAAACAGGACCCCGGCCTTGAGCTCGCGCACCAGGAGCTGGAAGTGGACCGTCTCCTGCTCATAGCTGACGTTCCAGGAAAGCTCCAGGGCCCCCTCGGGGTCCAGGGGGACGTGGTAGGGGAAAGGGCTCTCACGGGGCGCCGAGCCCTGCAGGGCGGCCACCAGGATGACCAGGAAGACGGCCACCGCCGTGCCGTACATGGAGGCGGCCTCGCGCACGCTGGGGCTGGGGACCTGCATGGCCGGGTGAGCGTGGCCCTCCCGCTTGGCCATTTATGTCCTGGCCCTCTGGGGGGTGGGCCCGGGCTGCAGCAGTAATCACATTTGTCTGGTGGGGAATCGAATTGTCCCAGCGACCTCCCACCAGCGCGTGCCCCGGGGCCAAACGCTTGCCTCCCTCGCTCTCCTAATTGGCTCTAATGGCACATGGACACCATCAGTGGAAATTGAAGCGGACTGGCCCGTCTCGGACGGCTGTCGGAAAGCGGCTCCCTGCAGCCAGAAAGCCCTTCCCACGCCTTCCAGCCAGACGCCGGCTGACCACCAGGCGGGCTGGCCCCCCCCCGCCCCCCCACCGCCGACGGGATGGACCCCGAGCGCCCCGTTCGTGGATGGGCAGACTGAGTCCCCCAGGTTATCTCCAAGGTGGCAAGTGAGTGATGAGACCGTGCTGCTGTGGACTGGCCCAGTGCGCTGCTTCTACAATGCTGGAGGGTGGACCCATTTCAAACTAAAAATAAAAGACGATCCCCAAATAGGCCCTGTGTTTAGACACTGTCTCCATGGCCTGCTGTTCCTCCGTGTTCCCCACAGGCTCCAGCTGGCGCGGCGGCTGCTCCAGAGGGCTGGGTGCAGCGCTCGGGGGGGGGGGGGGGCAGGAGGACCGGGGGGGCCTTTTCTGGGCAGCTGACTTGGCGATGCTTTGCTGAGGGGTAAAGAGGAGGGCACCTTGCTGGTGGGGGGCAGATTTTGAAAAGGGGTGCAAGTGACAGGTCCGCTTTCCTGTCTCCAAAGCTCCCCAACCCTGGACATCCTCTAGCCGAGAGCAGACCCAGCCTGAATTTGAACCCTCCCAGGCCAGCTGGACCACTGCGCTGCTTCTCCGCACACCACAGGGCCTTCCCACAGAACCGCTGGATCGTACGGCCCTGAGATCCTCGAGTGTCTGTCTCATCGCCCCCGGCTCACTACCATCCCTCTCTGTGCAGAGGAGACTCAACACGTGCTGCCACTTCCAGGAAGTTCTCCATGATTGCCTCCTGCTCTGAACTCAGACCTTCCCCTCAGGCACCCAACTAACTAACTTACTACGTCCCTTCTTTCCTTCCTCCCTTCCTTCCTTTCTCTCTCCCTCCCTCCCCTTTTTTTTTCTTCCCTTTTCTTCCTCCTGTTCCTCCTCTTTTTGGAGAAACCTCTGGTGCCCAAATTTCAGTCCTCAAATATTGGCAAAGACGGGCCTTGAGGAGGCCGCGCGAGGCTCTGCTTTCACCCCGAACTCTGTTCCCCAGGAAGGAATGACTGTCTTTGCATGGAGATGAAATGTGGCGAGAGTTCCAGCCCTCCCTGGCCCTGCTGCGTGTTGCTCTCTGCCTCCAAACCAGGCGGGAGAGAGAACAAAACAAAGGTCTGGGGACCCCCGCTCCACGGCGTGCTGGGATGACCCCACAGGGCGCTGTCCTGGGCCTGGGGAAAGATGCGGAGAGACAGCGGGTGCAGGGACAGGCCCAGCGGGCTGGGAGGTGGGACACTGAGCACCACTGAGACTCAGCCCGGGGCTGGCAGGTTTGCCCCCTGGCGGAGGGGCGGGGCCTCGGTAGAACCTGGAAGGACCTCGTTCTGAGGGCTGGAGGCCCCACAGGGTAGGAGGCCACAGGATCCACCCCAGAGGCTTGTAGGCAAAGCTGCCTACATTGGGCGGGCCCAGGGAAGACCTGAGACCAGGTCTCACTCAAATTCTTTCCAGAACTTCCTCGTCGGCCATAAGCGGGCCTCTGGCCTTGGAGGTCACGGTGCCCCGGACATTCGCTCCCCGGGGTCAGGACAGGGTCTCCCTGGGTGGGTGCCTAGGTCCCTGGCGCACATGAAGGCAAGAACCAGCAGACACAAAGTGGGGTGACTGGTTCGGGGTGAGGCGCCCCAGGTGGCTCCAGCTTGAAGACAGCCACCCCTCGGGGCTCGTGAGACCCTATGGCCCCTGTCATGCATTGCCCGGGGTGTCAGTGCTCCCGGTTCGAATCCTGCTGGGTCCCTCCCAGATCCCGCCCCGCCTGGAAGCCAGAGCAGCTGGGTAGCAGGAGCTCGTCCCTCTGGGTCCCTTTAGCCCCGGGGTTCAGGAGTGAGAGGCGGGGAGGCTCGGGAGCAAGGGCCAGGGGTTGGGGTCCAGGGCCCTGGGGTGTGACATCAGCCACAACCACCGCCGGCCTCTGCTCCTCTCTGGATGGGGGGGGTCAACAGTCACTCAGAGCACTAGGGCCAAGTGTATCTGTGCACACGCGTGTGCAGGTGTGTGTGTGTGTTTAATCCTCACCCGAGGATATTTTTCCATTTATCTCCAGAGTGGGAGGGAGGGAGGGAGGGAGAGAAACACTGATGTGAGAGACACATTGATTGGTTGCCTCCTGCACAACCCTGACCAGGGCTGAGGATTGAACCTGCAACCAAGGCACGTGCCCTTGACTGGACTCGAACCCGAGACTCCTTGGTCCGGGGGCCAACACTTGAACTGCTGAGCCAAACCGACCAGGGCCACACGTGTGTTTTTGGCGGGATTCAAAGACCCCCTTCTCCAGCTCAGAAGCCGCTGGCCCGCGGCCTTCCTCCGCATCTGACGAGAGGGACTCCGCAGATTTCGGAGATGATGGGGAGGACTGGTCATTAACGGGGGGGGGGGGGTATGGCCGCGCCCAGCCCCCCACTGCTCTGCTTCATTTCACCCCCAGAGGCCTTGGCTGGCGGGTCTGTGACGCTCCTCAGACGTGGGAGGTGGCATCTCAGAGAGGTCAAGGGACCTGAGCCTCAGGTCCCGAGGACTGTCAGCCGGCGTGGGGGTGGCACTCAGTGGCGACCAAGGTCAGGGAAGTCCCACTAGAATCGGGAGGAATGGACACTCGGACGAGAACCACAAGGAGCCGGTGGCGCGCCAGCCCGGCCAGATGGAGGCTGCTGGTCCAGTCCGAGGCCTCCGCATGCTGTGCCACAGGGCTCGGCTGCCCTCCGGCCCTGGCCGCACCCAGTGAGGCGCCAGCCTGCCCCGGCGTCCTGGGACAAGCCCTGCTGAGCCCTCCTCCTCGTGAGCCCTCGGGTGGGGGGCCTGGCCCCCCTCTCCCAGCTCTGCTCTGGTGCTAGTTGCCCTGCACAGGCGGGGATGGGCTGGGCTGCGCTGGGGTGCCACCCGGTGCCTCACCACCCCCGTTGGGAAACGAACTGCCCACGGCTCAGCGCCTGGCTCTCCTCCAAGGCGCTCCAACGGTGACCTCCTTTGGGACTGGTCTCGGCGTTTTAATAAGCCCTTTGCCTCTGTGTCTTTCTGGCGCTGTCATCCTTTGCTTCCCATCCCCCCATCGCCTCCGCCTCGTGAGGTCAGCTCCCCATCCCCCCATCACCTCTGCCTCATGAGGTCAGCTCCCCGTCCCCCCATCGCCTCCGCCTCGTGAGGTCAGCTCCCCGTCCCCCCATCACCTCCGCCTCGTGAGGTCAGCTCCCCGTCCCCCCACCGCCTCTGCCTGGTGAGGTCAGCTCCCCATCCCCCCATCACCTCTGCCTGGTGAGGCCAGCTCCCCGGATCCCCCATTGCCGCAAGCCTCCGGCAGCTCCGCGCGGGACCTGCTGCCCGCAGGATGGCCTCAGAGCCAGCAAGGAGTGGTCCACGAAGGTGCTGGGCCAAGCTGCTCCTCGGGTGACCGGCCCCCAGACCGCTGCTCAGAGCCCACACCCCCAAGTGGCGCAGCTGAGCACCGTGGGCCAGGCGGGTGCCACCCAGCCCGGACCCTGTGACGTGCTCCCTCGCCCAAGGCCCAGTCCAGGAAAGGTGACCTGGGCCCTGGGGTCGGAAGGGGCCCCCGCTCAGCCAGGCCCCTGTGCCCGCTTTGGGGCGGGTGGATTCGGAAATCAGACCGGAGATGCTAGCACGGCTCCGTCCCAGCGTTGGCGCCAGCGCCATCTGAGGTCCTGCTCCGGGCGCCCCTGACGCAGAGCAGCTGTGCCCGTGTCCGAGACGGCCGGCAGCACGGCCGGGCACTGTCCCTTGACATTCCGATCACCGTCACCGGCAGGGATGTGGTCTTGTCCCTGTGAGTGGCGGAGGCGGAGAGACCAGGGGCATGTTCCTTTCCCCCGGCACCTCACCGGTGCCACACAGCGGGCAGAAGCGCCCTCCACGCCGGCCGGCGCCGCGCTCATCAGGGCTGCTCGGGGCCGCTGGGCTGGAGATGCCGCTGGACTGCGACTGTGCCCCAAACGTGTGACGTGGACACTGGAGTCCCACAGTTCCATCCTCAAAAACAACCACTCTTAACTGCTCAGTGCACAGACTTCCGGAATTTCTTTTCGCTATTTATTTTTATTTATTTGTTTTTTCCCCTCATCGGAGGATATTTTTCTACTTATTATCAGATAGAGTGGGAGGGAGAGAGAGAAACATCAGTGTGATAGAGCCGCATTGAGTGGCTGCCACCTGCATGACCCCACCAGGGCCGGGGACAAACCGCAACTGAGGTACATGCCCTTGACCGGAACCGAACCCGCGACTCACTGGTCTGCGGGCTGACGCTCCAACCGCTGAGCCAAACCAGCCAGGGCCACATTAACTGCTTTAAAGCACATAGCTCGGTGGTGTCAGGGGCACTGACTGCGGTGAAGCCGCCACCACCCTCTCCAGGACTGTCCCCCTCCCACACTGACCCTGTCCCCATTGGACACTCACTCCCCGGCCCCTCCCCCGGCCCGGCAAACACCGTCCACTTCCTGTCTCTGTGGCTCTGTGGCTCTGCCTCCGCCAGGGCCCTCCGGCCTGGGGGTCCCCCAGGGTTGGTCCTCCTGTGTCTGGCTCCCCTCCCTCGGCGCCGCGTCCTCCGGGCTCAGCCGCGCTGCAGCGGAGTAGGGACCCCTCCTCTGTGAGGCTGGCCGTGTTCCACTGAGGCGGGTCCGCACCGCGCTGGGTGCGCCCGTCCTTCCACTGACGGACGCTGGCCACCGTGAACGGCTGCTGCGAATGTAGATGCACACACATCTGCTCTCGTCCC